CCTTCCCTTCCCGCTATTTCTGTCGCGGCTCTTGGGGGCATCCCACCCTTCCGCCTTCCCTCCTCCTGCACCTGGTCCTGCCTGCTTTCTCGCTGTCTGCCCCAGGAGGTAGGTACATGGCCCGTCCTTGTCCCCCACACTAGACGAGGGGTGGGGGTGGCCTAGCCTCAGCTCCCAGTGCCTTCCCTGAGGCTGCTGGGCCTGAGCTGGCGATGGGTCTAGAGAGGGCAGAGCCTGAGCTGGGTGTGGACCTGTTCCTAGGCCCGAGCACACCTGTCCCTGCTTGTCTGTTTCTTCCCGCCTGCTTTGTCCTAGGCCCCTGAGAGTCCCGCCTCTCCTGCTCTGCCTCTCCCTCCCCCTCCCAGAGGCCCTGTCCCCCGTTGAGCCCAGGCCCCCTCCCGCCCCTTCCCTTTCAGGGGGCCGGGTGAAGACCTGGAAGCGGCGCTGGTTCATCCTCACGGACAACTGTCTCTACTACTTTGAGTACACAACGGTGAGGCCCTGCTGGGCTCTGGGGAGTGGGAGCGGGCGCAGGCTGCAGGGAAGGTTTGCAGGTCTGAGTTTTGTCTGACTTGCTCGTTCAGGACAAGGAGCCCCGAGGAATCATCCCCCTGGAGAACCTGAGCATCCGTGAAGTGGATGACCCCCGGAAACCGGTGAGACCCTCTCTGCCCCTTCCTGCTCACACAAGGGCCTGTAGAGGCCCCAGGGCTGGCTCTTACCTGCTGTCCTTGTGCATTTCCTCAGAATTGCTTTGAGCTTTACATCCCCAACAACAAGGGGCAGCTCATCAAAGCCTGCAAAACGGAGGCAGATGGCCGAGTGGTTGAAGGGAACCACATGGTGTACCGGATCTCGGCGCCCACACAGGAGGAGAAGGATGAGTGGATCAAGTCCATCCAGTGAGCCTGGGCTGACTCCTGAGGAAGGGGACTGGAGGCTGGACCCCTGGGTCTGAGGGAGGGTGGGGCCTGGACCCCTGGGTCTGAGGGAGGAGGCTGGGGCCTGGACTTGGCTCTCATCCGGGACCCTCCCCTCTGCAGAGCCGCAGTGAGTGTAGACCCCTTCTATGAGATGCTGGCAGCAAGGAAGAAGCGGATTTCCGTCAAGAAGAAGCAGGAGCAGCCCTGACCCCCTGCCCCCAAATCCATTATTTATTTCAGAGCTGCCCCGCCCAGGTGGCCGGACCCCTGGGCCCTGGGGCTTTGGATCCTGGTTTCCTGTCTGGAAAATTGACCACCTTTAGCTCCTCTCTCATTATTTGTAATTAACATGCTGTTGGTAATCTTATTAATTATTTAACCACTCGTGCCTGCAGACCCCCTCATTTCTTGGTGTTGGCAGAGCTAGGTGCTCCATCCGGTCCACCTTGACAAGGTCCAGGAACCAAGCCAGTCAAGCGCATAGGAAGGAGCTACCCTGGAGGGGTCACTTCTGGTTTCACCCCAGTTTTCATAGGTGGAGCAAAGGGAGGTTTCCCGTAGAGGCAGTTCTTACTGTTAGACTGAGTTGACCTCCACTCCCCATGAGGTCTACAAGGTGGGTGGGGGCAGAAATCTAGGGGCGAGAGCCAGGGTTCATGGCTTCTATAGGACCTGTGGTTGAGGGGCAGTAAATACCTGTGGGGGCTGGGAACCTTGTAGAGTGCCCAGGGACACTAAGAGACCTCTCGAGATGACTGCAAGGAGGCCTGGGTCAGCAAGAGGGTGGCGACGGTGGTCGCTGAAGTGTGCGAGGCAGGCGTTGTTGCTGGGTTGTGCACTGAGCCAGGCTTTGCCAACGAAATTTAGCCTCCTTTGGAGGACATGTAATGTCAAAGGGCTGACAACATGCTGGGAATGTGACAGTCTGAAGGTGAAGGTCTTGTTTGGGATGCCTGGAGCCAGGATTTGGAACGGTCCCCTTCTTGCCCTATAGTTGGGCCAGTTAGAAATAGAATGGTTTGATCCCAGGGGGTGATGTTTAAAAGGCAGGGGCCCAGGAGGTGAGACCTCAAAGAACAAGTGTACCTCCAACGATGGAAATTATCACGGGTCCCAAGACGTGGGCTGGCAGGAGACTCCATTGTCACGCCCACACCCGCCCGCGGAGCTGAGTGTTCCTTAGCGTAGGAAACTACCACTCCCTGCAGGGCCTCCGTCGTGTTTTCCCCTGGGAGCGAGGCTGCCGCCGTGGGGCCTGCTGGGAGTTGTAGTTCCTAATGTACGCTGAGCTGGAAGCTCCGGTCCCCCAATGGTGGAGTGCTTGGATGGGGAATGTACCGAATCTCTGGTCGGTTCCGGTCCCGCCCTTGCCTACTGGCACCCGCCAGCGCCAAGGGCTACGGAGCGATGTAACTACAAGGCTACCCAAGAAGGCGGCCCCTTCCCAGTGAGCTATGTGCTGCCCGCCCCTGGCGGAGATCCAGGCTGCGTCTCACACTGCGCTACCTTCTGTGGGGTTACCTGTCTGGTCTCCAGCTCTCGTGGAGGTGGGGAAAGCCCTGACCGTTTTACAATCCCACCCTAGGAGCTGATGCTCAATGGAATCCCCAAGTTCTTCCAAAGGTTCCAGGGAAATGGGGTTATCGACCCAAGCATGTCCTGAGAAATGAGGTCCCTGAGTATAAACAGAGGGTCCCATCACTGTCATCCATGGTGCCCCCTGTTGTAGCATGAACCCATGGGTACCCTGTGCTACTGTGTGGAGAATCGGTGGCCCTAGAGATGGGAGAAAATGCGCAGAGGTCCGCAGGGGATTGGCTTGCTGGGGTGATTGATGGCAGGAAGGTGTGTCTGGAAGTTGGCGACTGCAGAGGTGTGGGAGGAAGGCAGACGGAAGGTGTGGGCTGGCCATGTGGGCCCTTGTCAGCCAAGACGGGGGACTTTGAATGCCTTCTTAACAGGATGGTTAAGCCACCCAAGGACCTGGGCAGGAGTGTGATTGAGGTTGTGGAGGGCCCCCTGGCTGCTGCACGGAGAATAATCTGGAGTTCAACAGGGAGGTTCCCAAGTGCCAGCCAGTGTGGCTGTGGAGGTGGAAAAGTGGACCAGGACAGAGGTTTTGGAAGACAAGCCCCCAGCACCGTATGAAGGCTGGTCATCAGTGAATGGCAATACCATTGACTGTGAGGGTCCAAAGGGAATTTTTTTTTTTCCGGGAGGTGGGGGTGGTCAGTACATCAGATTTGACTGAATTAAGCTGGAGATGCCTGAGCAACATTCAAGCCAGGCCAAAAATCGTCCTTCAGTTTTGTCCAGATCCATCTTTTCCCAAGGACTGAGGACTCTGGGTCCCAGTTCCTTCCTCATTAAGGACTCCAAACTGCTAACCCCTCTTTTTATAAGATGAATTGTGACCTTCCAAAAATTCTAAGTTGATAGCCCCTGGAATCTCAGAATGTGATCTTATTTGGAAATAGGGTCATTGCAAATATAATTAAAGATGAAGTCATTACTTTGGGCCCTAATCCAATATGACTGGTGTCCTTATGGAAAAGAGCAATTTAGATGAAAGGACACACTGTCATGTGGAGAGGAAGGTATTTACAAACAGAATCCAAAAGTGTCTAGTGACCACCAAGAGCCAGGTTTGGAAAGTTATGCCGCAGATCTTCATCACAGTCCTCAGAAGTAAACAACCCTCTGGCATTGATCTTGGACCTCTAGCCTCCAAAACTGTGAGATGATGAATTTCTGTGGTTTAAGCCACCAAATTTTGAGATACTTGTTATGTTAGTTCTAGTGAACTAATATGTCCCTCCTCCCTCAGACCCAGGGCTCCAGGGCCCAGCCTCCCTCCCTGGGGCCTCCATGGTTGAGGCCATGCAGCCGCCCCGCCCCCCAGGAACACCATACGGGCACAGGCAGTAGCAGTTAAGGGAAGAGGAAAAATCCTCATCCTCTCCATCCTCCAAGCCCCAGGACTTTCTTTCATTTGACCCCAATACCTTCACCACCTTCATTCCTAAGCCAGTGTCTATGGCACCCACCCTTGCCCCTTCTCTCTTCCCTCATCCAAATTACCTCCCTTCAATATGCTAATAAACCTGGTCTCAAGGTGACGGGGGACAGCCCAGGGCCAAGAGATCAGAGATGCAGAGACAGCCCCAGTCACAGGGACACGGACAGAGATGGAGGCAGAAACAGGAGAAATGAAGGGAAGGAGACAGAAAGACATAATCGACACAGGGAGAGATGACAGGAGACCCAGAGAGGAGAAGGCAGGGACAGGAACTCAGACAAAGAAACAAACAGCATTAGACAGTGAGTGAGGCGGAGGCTGCGCAGGACCCGGATGGAGAGATGGGAAAACACCAGGCGGGTGGGGAGCACTGGGCCAAAACCCAGGAACTGTGCTTGGACAGGAGAAGAGTGTCTGGGAAGTGGACAGTCACATGTAGAATGGGTACACTGGGCCAGGTGTGGTGGCACACACCTGTAATCCAGGGACTCTGGAGACTGGGGTAGGAGGATCCATAGTTCAAGGCCAGCCTGGGCAACCGAGTGAGACCCTGTCTCACAATTAAAAAAA